ACCGATTCAATGGCAGGCGATCTTCAAATTGCATGCGGGCAGACTCACCGACAATCATCGAAGGGTCTGGATTCAGAAATTCCGATTCTATCGTCACCGAAATGTGAACCGACAATGTTAGCTAGCGCCGGCCCAGGAAGACCATAAGACAATCTCATGTCTCACACATCTTGGTTTCAAATACCAAACAGGCGAATCGACGTGTCGATTGTGCTCGGCGAAATACCATTATTGTCATTTGTGACCACCACTAGCGGAACACGCACGCTCTGAGCCTCCAACCAGTGTCAACAACTGGTCAGTGGCCACTACCTCTAGCGGACGTACCAACAACGTACCAATACACCTCCTGCGGCCTACATCTGGCAGTCAACACCTCCAACATTTGACCTGCATATTCGTGCAGACAGCTTTGTGCGTAATGCTATTCATTGTCAGATTCGGGGGCTGTTTGGGTGCTTCAATGCCCACCTCCTGCGTGGACGTCAAGCATACCAAGGAGTCGATGTGACCTGTCATCTCGTAGACGAGATGCGCGGTCGATCAATCAGTCTCTCATCGAAAATCGGCACATGCCCGGCATTGTTCCAGCCTCCGCTGCTAATTTCATTGAGGCTGCAATCGAACGGAAGAAAATGACCTGTCACATGGACTACATCTCCCGCCGCAAAGCTTCACTACTCGCCCATTCAAGACATCCTCTCCTCCGCTGTCGCTATTCGACAGCCATACGGTCTGGTCGTGCTCGAAATGTGGTGAAACCATGGAAAAGAGCGGCAATCTTCTCGCAAGGATGTAGCATCCGTAATCTGCGAAATTTCGAGAGGCTCTGCTATCGGGAATTTCGACCTTGATTGTCTGGGGCGAATCGCACTGGACCGAGAATGTCTAGGTCAAACACAATTGAGCTGCTCAATCTACCGCCCTTGATTCGGGAAACTTGACTGCACTAGCATTGCCTGTCAAAACATTCCGTTGTCGCTTCGGAGCTGGCATCAAGCGCGGGAACAAACAGGTTTTTCACAATTCTTTCGTGTGTTCCACGGCCGCATATCAATAACGACGAGTCCCTTGCGGTGAGGATGCTTGCATATATATGCAAGCACCCGGAGAGACGTAGTGTTTTGGCAGTCTCCAGTTTCGATGGGCTTATGTCTCATCAAAACACCAAACGCCAGTTGCCAGGATCCTCGACAGGGACTACGGCTGTTTCGTCTCCTTGTTGGGCTATTGTCGTTCATGGCCTGATTGATGGCTTACCGCTCCAAGTCTTGAAGTCGAGGTTTCTGACACATGGTAATCACCACTTTATGGGCATCGCCAAGAGAGTATGGAGTAATGATTGACGCAAGACTGGGATCCAAGTCTCAAGCCAGCCCCGTTTCGAAGCTCCGTCGGATCTGCGATCGATCTCTCCCTCAATCTCCTGACCATCTCCATGGACAACACCAAAACCTCGGTTACAAGTTCATGGACGACAGGCATACCTAGCTAGTCGACCAGACTGTCGGAACCGCCCGCAGCAACCCGGCCAGTGTACCACATGGCCAGTCACAAAATCAAGAGACAATGGCGGGTTATTGCATCTTGATCACTATCCAGTATCCAGAGGCTCAATCCCCGAAGGTACTTTTAGATTGAGAGAGATCTCGATGATGCCTCCGCCAAACGACTTTCCCAAATTACAGAACAAATGCATGTCTCACCTCCTGAACCCCCGCTCTCTGCATATCTAGGTATCTTGGACATCTTTGTCATGTCCAAGTTCTAGTATTGCTTGAGGTCTAGGCGCTTGGTAAAAGCCTTGTTACACCGCCCTAGTTCCCGCAACGCCAGGTAACCACCAATCACCTGTCTAAATCTCGTGCCATAGTACTCTCAACTCTAGTTTGTCGACATTTGTACCCGTTGCGGACGGGGAGACGGTCAACTTCCTATGGCTACAAGTTAAACAATCTAACCCTGGCGTCATCTTGACGGCCAAGGATGGTGTGTTGAGATGCCTACTCTAAACCTGCAGCCGAGGCTGCTTATTCTACGACGATCCCCCCTGGTCAGATCAGTCGCACCGGCAAATCTATCTTCGGTGATAACTGACAAGTTGTCTGCTGTCGGCCCGCGCCAGATAGCATCTAGTACGGCATTATGATTGCACATGACGGCGATTATTCCTTCTTGTCTTACAGACATGCAAGATGAAATGGCTTCATTGGAAAACTTTGGAACAGTCTTTCTTATTCTACGTTATGACTTGTCTCACAACCAACGGCCACACTGGAGACCTCACCTTTGGCCACAGCGTCACGACCGCCACAGCGGGTTGAGACTTCCTGGGGATCGACGCACTCCCGCTTAGCTTCGTCTGGTCTTTTCAGTAGCTTACTTCCTTATGCCGAGCCTGCAGCCCACAACTGGTGCCACCGGGTTAGGTATCCAGGCAGGAAGGGTTGCCAATCGTGCATCTTTCGGTGCCAAGCCGCAAGAGCCGGACAGGGCTGCAGCGTCGTCTGTTGAGCCCATACCGGGGCTGGGGTTGGGATTGTTGTGGGTGGATTCATGAGTGCCTTCATTTGTCGCAGACAACCAACGCATCACGGGCGGACGGAAGCAGTCTAGAACCTTGCCTTTACGAGCAAAAGTCCAGCTGCAGTCAAGCCCTCTTGGCACGGAAACGGGTGGTGGAGCCAGAGCCAGAGTCGTTACACGGCAGCTCAACGAGCCCGACTCCCGTCGAAGAAGCGGCAAAAAAGCGGCAGGAGGAAAGTATTCTTTTTTCCATCCGATGTCGACAACAGGGAATGGGTCTACCGGTGGTCGGATACGATGCCCCGTCAACTCGGAACCCTCCACCGTCATCTACCCTTTCTTTCCAGGTTACACACAGTCTCGATAATGACATCGTACTCCCTTGAGGGGAGATTGCCTTGGTCCGCGAGTCCATTGTCTTCCTTCCCGGCGTCGTACAACAAGAAGCATGTCTGCCCAGGTGCGACGTGAAGTAGGAAGAAGAATCTCATCCATGGTCCACGACAAGCTGATGGGAACCGACAGCTACCCTGATGGACATCACCATTGCAGAGAGACAATACAGAATAACACGGAGGAAAAGCGGTTGGTATGGGTCGACGATACGGCCGACATGTCATTGACGAGATGCATTGTCCGTCCTGTATGTCCCGAGCAAGGTTGGCAGGTATCCGCTCCCGTTGACTCTGCGTTTACGTGCAGTGACAATCTATCGTATTCTACTGCTACACAGCAATACAGAGGGAGAAGCCTGTACCACACGAAGGGATATCTTCACAAGTCATTTATCAATACTCACAAATGACGGATCTTTTTCCAGAGGCGGCGGTCAAGCCTCAAAGTGGCCGGCACATGTTCCTCCCAGATCAGGTCACGTTGGACAAGAATAAGACCGTTTAGGGAGGGAGATGTGGGAAGTCGGCCGTTAACGGAAGAGACAGAAGGTCACACGGAAGCGACGACATACACGGATTGGGTCTCTGGCCCCCAAAATCGAAGTCGAGATGTGTGTGGGTGAGATCCCTTGGGTGTTCTTTAACTTCTCTCCACTACGTACGGTATTTGGGTTTCTCTTCCCGCCTCACGCTTCTCTGCGTCAAGATCGGCGCCCCACAGGTTTGTGTGTTTGTATGTGTGCTGTTCGTCCTTTTGCGCCCTGTCTTGTCTCTCTCTCTCTCCCTGCGTGTCTCATCCCGGTGACCTTGGTTTACTCAAAGGCTATCCTTTCTCACGTATAATAATCCTGTCTCCTGCTCACAGTCTTCTGACCTCATCAAAAGAAAGATTTTCCTTCTCTCAACCACCACTGCCTCCCTGAAAATAAGGAAATGACTCTTATGACTCTTGAGAACGACCTGCCTGTCTCTCATTGTTTTCCCTCCAAGTCTCAATTTTTGCCTTGTGCCTTGGAAAAAATAAAAAATAAAAAACTCCCCGAGACACACAGGAGCCTCTTCCAAAGTGCCGCGTATAGTGTATGCTCCGAAAAAGGAAATTAGAGAAAAGGAAACAAAATGTGGCTTGTTGGGAATAAAACCTGAAACTCTAGGCTGTAGTAGGGGAAATAGGTATCGCTCGCCTCGAGTAAAGGAGAAAGAAAATAAAAAAAGAAGAAGAAGAATTAAACGCCATGTCAAACGCCACAACCATTCGTGTAATGCAAAAAAAAGTATACCGGAGCCTCCTCCAATGGAAGCCCGCAGAACCGAGAAAAAAAGAAAAAGAATAAAAAGGGAAAAAAGGTTTTCCCTTGCTAGTATGTCTGCCACATCGCGCGCGTCACAGCTTTCTCGCTTCTGCCCATAGGCCGCGTACGGTATACGACGGGCGGACGGGACGGGACATCGGTTCTTTACCGCACCACCTTGTCGATCTTGACGAGCAGCTTGCCACCTTCAATCGGTCTGTTCTTGGTGTCCATGAGCCTGATGAAGCGGAAGCCGGGACGAAGACGGTCGAGGCGGATACATGCCCATGATAGAAGCTCGTCGCCGCCGAGGAGTGGGTCATCCTCAATCTTGAATCTGCGCGGCGAGACACGAGTTAGTGAAAATCATTCTTGCAACAAATCATCAAAGTTTCGTTTTTGGTCATGGCTGTTCGCAGGATGCAGAGAAGCGGGAGAAAAGAAGAACAACATTGCGGTGTGCGGCGGCCCGGACTGTCAACGCAGCAGCCCGCCTGGCAGGTGAGTATTGACGGGTACGGGTCAACGGTTCGTGAACGGGAAGGGGACGGTGGCACTGCGTGGAAGGGGGAGGAGCTCGACGACCCTGGTTCGTTCCACGAGCGTTCCCGTCTTGTGCCTATGACGAAGAGAGGCGACGGGTCCCGGCATGGCATCCGAATGTGAATCAGGCCATTCCCGGGGGTTGGGGAGCCGTCACGACTTCGGACAACGTTACACCGCCGGAAGCTGTTCTAGTCTTGCAGGTTGGACACGCCGGCGCGGAGCCGCGTACATCCTTTCACCGTCTTCTCGAGTCATAGTTTCGAAAGATCGTCGAGGCTCGTAAGCCCCAGACATGCATGCTGCTGCCTGAGGGAAAGCGGAATCAAAACCAAAAAAAAAGCAAGAAAACACGAAACGAAACTGTGAGCTTTCTTACCTGAGGAAACTCAACTCTTCCACCACCCTCGAGATCTTGGGGAACTTGAGTCGTGCTCCATTCTCCCAATCGGGGTGGTCAGTCTTTTTCGATCCCGTCTTGAGCTTGAAGTCGTCTTCGTCGGCAGCCTTTCCGTTCTGCGCCCCAATCTCGACGTGAAGCTCGCACTTGACAAATGGTCGGAGGTGCTTGCCGCGGCTGCTGTCGCTGGCAGAATCGTCGTCGACAAAGATATGCTGGCCGGCAATGATGGTGACAGTGAGCTCCAAATCGCCCTGCGGCGCGGCATCGACCTCTGTCAGCGTGTCCTTGTCAGAGCTCCGGTACCCAATGGGTTTGAGGACCCATCCCAGCTCGTCCGCGAACATGCCCTCGTTGAGCATCATTCCTTCGTCGAGATATTGCCAGTTGAGAGCAACCATCTGCACGCCCTTGCGCCAGAAGAGACTGGGGTCCGGGTTGGAGCTGTCGACGCGCGAGCCGTTGGGGAACGCCCGCATGAAGAAGTTTTTGTTGTGGGTGAACATCTCGCGGGCCTTGGTCGTATGCAGCTCCAGGATCCTGTTCTCACTTATCGAAAAGATGTGGCTCGGCTTCTTAGCCGCCGGCGTCTCAAAGCTCTTGAAGTGCTCGCTGTGGGTGTAGATGGCCAGACTGCTGAGTGCCTGGCAAATGGCCACCTTTGTGCTCTTCGGCGGCTCGTTTCCACTATGAACCTTGGCTGGGGCATCGAATTTAGGTGTAGAGGGCGGTTTCGACGTCTCTTGTTTCGGTGCCTCCCTGTTTTTTTCATCGTCGGAACCCCCTGAGGCGTCCTCGTCGTTGGCAAATACTTGCGAGAGGGCCGTTGTGCTGGGAGGCACCTCAATCTTATTCGGCGCCTTCTTAACCTTGACGAGGATCTTGCGCTTCAGCTCCTCGAGCTTGGGGAGGCGGAAACGGGGATCAATGCCCTCCCACGACTTATCGATCAACATGCCTTCCCACTCCTCTTTCATGATTCTGACCATCACCTCCTGCTGCTCCTTGTCGGCATGGACCTCGAGACTGACAATCAGGGGTAGCTCATTCGTCTCGAAAGCGGACTCGCGGACGGCCTTGCAGACCTCTCTGAAGCCGCAGGGAGTTGTCAGAGTCCAGCCGTGCGTGACAATCGGTTCATCCTTGGGATACGGCAGGCGATTCTTCATAGAGGGAGTCGGAGACGAGGGGCGTAGAGTCTTGCCGAGAGACTCGGTGGACTCGCTCGGTCCCAGTAGAGTGGCACTGTCGCGAGGATTCAGGGACTTGCTAGCACTACTGGTGTTTCTGTTGTGGCCATTGCCGTTCGTGCTGCGTTCGACTAGGAGATCTTCTACCGTCTCCTTGACGCTCGCAGCCACGTTGGGAAGAGAGGATCCAGAGAGATTCCTCGAATGGTCAGGTTTGGGAGAGCGGCTGCCCTCTTGCGTCGTGATAGGGGTGTCTCCGTTCCAGATATCGATTTCGATACAACGACATCCACGGCGAAGGACCTACGTTTCACGTGTCAGAAGCTATTTCTCTCTGCCGAGAAGATGCAAGCATAGGGCTACATACCGTTTTGTAAGCCTCAGGTGAACTCCTGGAGGCAAGCTGGTTGCCCTCCAGGTATGTGTTGTGACTGCTGCTGATGAAGTAGTTTGTGATGGGCCGGCCCAAGTCCTTGTCCTCTTCCTTTATTGGCCGAGTGGCATCCCAGCCGTAATTTCTCCACCATAGCTCCAGGAATTCGCCATAATTGTATCTTTGCTGATCCTCAGGCAGTACAGCCTCGACATCGGTCTCGCCCTGGGTACCCTCGAGGAATACGAGCAGTTGGTCGCGGGTAACAAAAGGCTCGCGGGACAATGAAGAGCGACGGGAGCGTAGGTCGTTGAATATCTTCTCGAAACGGTCGCGGATGGCCTGGCTGAGCAGGATCTCGTCGGGACTGGGCGAAACGACCGCCTCCTTGGGGTCCGAGTCAGCGGATGACGAGGATGAAGGGTCGGTGGCGCCGTCGACGTTTGTGATGTTGATCATGGGCATCGGTCGAGAGGCGGGCGGGAAGTGGAAGCCGTCTCGTGTAGGTGCCAGGAGGGTGGTGAGGCCAACCATCTTCTTGAGGGTGTTGGCGGAGGTCTTGTTGGAGGAGGACCATAGCGGCATCGTGAGGGTTCGCTTCTTCTGTGTCTTTTCGTCGGTCGGGGCGGTCCTACGGCGCCAGAACTGCCAAATTTGTTAGTCCGTGTCCGACAATTGACCACAGGCTGAAGGCCAGTGTCAAAAGGCTTTGGGAAAGTGTAGGAAAAGGCATCATATGCGGGCGTTGCCAATGCTGGAGCCTTGCATTGAGCGCAACCCCTACGGGATGTGTTGAGAGACGTACAGAGAGACACATGGCGGGCGAGCTGCAGCGGCTTTGATAGCCTGCCTCCGGGTTGAAGCCTCCTTTCCGATCCGTGTGTGCGTTGACCGAATCGGTTCTGCGTATGGCTGACGGATTGTTGTCGCGGGAAGGGGGGTAATTCTTTGCTCAATTAAGCCTACTCTGGTTCTAGGGGTCAGAGGGGTACGACTTCGGAGAGCGTATTGGATATGATCATTAGTCCATTGGACGGACAGGATAAGAAATGGTTAAGGAGACGAAGGAAACGGAAGTGTAAGAATACGGGTGGTAGTTGAACGAAAGTTTAGGATTACTTTGGAGAATTAGAGGAAATTCGAGGAATGAAGGCATTCGAGAGACCACAGCAAAAGGGTAATTTCAACGAGAGTGGGAAGCGTGGATATGCATGTCAGCATAGCTGAGGACATGGGTGGGCAGGGAAAGTCTGTGATCCAACGTGATGGCCCTGATGGGGTTCCCGTTGCATTAGCACTTGGGGTCTTGGAGCACTTGGAGAGCACCCGCTTGGAGAGGAGGGGACAGCCTCGTCCGATGGGTGTGCTGAACGATGCAAGTGGCCAATGGGAAGGGGCCAGCACTGCCCCCCGATGGTTTGGATCCCTGCTGGAGGTGGTCCCGACTGCCCTCAGTGCCCTGTCGATGGTGCTCTCTAGCGTGGTGTTCCTTACCTCGACTGCCTGTTGTGTCTCCCACAGAATCGAGACATTGAGGGACGGCCTCCTCGGGATCCACGTCCTTGGTTCCTCGAGCTGTGAACTCTGCATCTCAACTTGTTTCGTTTTGTTGTTGATCACGTCGGAGCTCGCGTCTCTTTCCATTCTCCCTTGACCCAAGAATGCCGGGTATTGGGCGACAGTGACGCGTACCGCATAGTTTCTCTCATAATTGTCTGTCTTGGGTACCGGATTTGCATGATGATAGTCAGACTGGAGAGTGCCACGCCCAGGGCACATTTACCCACACTCTTAATCTTCCTCGAATACTGAATAGTGATGCCTTGTTTTTTTGGAGGGGCGGAGTCTGCGCATAGGTGTGCCTGTCTCTCCATCCTCTTCTCCCTGCATCGCGAAGCGGAGCGTCACACTGAGTCCATCCGCAGAGGGCTAGTCTTGGCCCCCAATCGCAGTCTGCCCTGTCTGTCTTACGGGGTGCCTCTTTCGGAACCATTGGACGTGAGCCTCGATTAATCATTGAAAGACTGGTGTTGCCTTCGTAGGGCACACTGAGAGGCTCAATGCCCGACATCCTTTGGCAACGAAATGTGAGTACTCAGCCATTTTCGCCTGCCACGAGATGCATACTGCAGCACCTTAGCAATACAACTCATCATGCGTCGTTTGCTGTGCTGTGCTGTTCGCAGAACATCGAAGCATTGTTGATGTTGTCACAGGGCCCGGCAAAACGGCAGTACGGCTGATGCTTCGAGACAGTTGTCGCCTGCTAGCCAGCCTTGCCCCTATTATTCCATGTTGACGTTTCGCGATCCCCGTTCGAGATGCGCTAAACATAGCATCCGTAAAGCGGGTGGAAAACCTCAGTATACCTACCCTACTTAGGGTACGGAGTACTTACACCTTATGTCGTAACTAGTGGAGGCGTTGCCGCTTCGTATGGAGGGAGGGATGATCCCCATACAAAGTGATATCATGGGCATGCTAAGGCCGAGGGAACAGCTCTCCAGGCAGCCATTAAGGACACCGAAAAGGTGGGAAGAGCTGAACATGAGCGACAGAATGAGTGACAGAATGGCAGTCTCCAGGAGTCCAGAAACCCAAGCATTCCCAGGTGGTCTCCACATGGCCTGACAGAACCTTTGGGGCGGTCCTGTCCCGTCGAGCCGTCGTTTTGTTCCACCTCAATGCATAGGTCCAGCTGGGGGCCTCAAGCTTGTCACCCGCACGCCAGAGGTGAGTGAGCATGGTAGCACGGCGGGGCCCACGCCGGTGCTCCGTGTTTGTCTGCTTGCTTGCTGTTGCTGCTGCTGCTGGCCACCAACGCACGCATTTCCCACCGGCGCCTGTGCATCTCTTCTGCTCGGCCACTGCTGCTGCGCCTCCCGGAAACCACCGTCCTTTCAATTGCCACACGGCATCGGGGCACTCGGGGGCCAAGTGGGGGTCGAGCACCCAAAAGTCGGCCTCCCCCACACTGCAGCCGACTCTCGAGACTCGAGCACGCGGACCACCACCACATCTGGGCAGCCGAACCGGCGTTTTGAACAGTCGATACCGCCAACGAGCTCTGTTAGTGAGGTTTATCTCAACTCACTCTCACCAGCTCAGTCTCTCGAGAAAGCCCTGCTATCTGTCGGAGTCGCCGGCGAACAGCTCTCGGACCCGGTCGAGGACTTGACGTCTGATGTTCTCTGACGTAATCGCAAGTTTTCGCCCGTAGACCTCCGTCGCCCATGCCGCCACGCCACGAGCGAACTTCTGAACATTACGCACATTTACCCCTCAGCTTCAAGCCAACAATCGCCAAAAAGCTGCAGCCATGCCCAATAAGCCCAATTCCCAGCATAATAGCGAGTCCGAGGTTAGATCTTGGGGATTTCCCCATGTCTTTACTTGGACCGACGGACCGTACGTGATGTCCAACTGCCTTTTTTTCACTTTCCTTTTCGCCTCTCCCAAAGGGGGAGCCGAGTACGGAGTATGCACGAACTGACGATCAAAGCTCAGGAACGCGCACTACTCCCCGCATTCGCATCGTGGTCTGACGACCCATCTGATCCTGCGTGGGAACTTTACCATCACGTACCCCAAGGACAAGAGCCCCGACAAGGTTACTTATGGCGTCGGCGACCGTATCGATGTAGACGCCGGCCGGGTGCATGAAGTCTGGATTGGCGACGAGGGCTGTACCTATGTCATTGGAGAATGAGACGATAGCTTTGGTGACCGTTTCCTGCCTCTGCGGTCCTGCCAGATGATGGCTAATCCGCGAATCCGCGAATCCATTGTGCTGTATTTTCCTTCAACACTAGCCTCTTTCAAGTTACGCAGAGTCTGGGCAGGCTTACATGTCATTTCACCTAGTTTATCATCGGAAGAGGAAGAAAAATGGCCTGCCTCAGATAGACCGTAAACTTGTGGCAGGATAGGTAGAGCTTTCCACCACAGTCCAGTTACCTAGTGTCGACATCAAACGTGAACTGGGCCGATTTGACTTTGACTGGCAAAGGAATACCCCCTCAGGTGAGATTCATGCCCAACTTAGACCTCTGAACACCCGGTCAGAGCTTTGGTCCCCTTATTTGACTGTCTAGTACCGCATTAGACGCGATTCCAGATGTCATCGTGATCAAGAAGTAAAGTGCCCCCAATGTAATCGGTCTTAATGATATCTACCATAGTCAGCTTTCAATAACAAAGTCTGGAAGAGGATGACTCCTTCGCCGTATATGATGCGCCCACGTAGCCGATTTCCCTCAAGCGTCCTATGCCTAAGGTAAGACCAACCCCGTGGAAGCAGCAATTTCATCCAGTGGTGAAGTTGGTGCTTGGGATTGGGACAAGGGCAGGATAATAGAATTTGAGCACTCGTCGTGAAAGAAACGGCTTTGAAACATGGAGAAATCCTTTGCCCGTGCGCGATGGCCTCGAAGACTGCCCCGACCCGTTCAGGGGCATGGCGATCAAAACGTTCCGGAAGGCCATGGAACCCTCTCAACCTGCTTGGCCACGAGGCGGCTTCGTCTGTTCAATGTGGCACCTGACTCGACTTCTAGGTAGGTATATCCGCACGCTTATAAGACAGGTGCATGTTGTTAAGCTTCGGCGACGGCGTCCTCGGTTTGGATTCAGGAAGAGGCCGCTTCTTCAGGGACACTAGACGTGAACATGAGGCTTGGCTATAACGATATCGATTAGACGCCGCTCCATTGTTTCTCGATTCGAGTTGATGGTGGAATACTTGTTTTACAGTTAGATCTCCCGCTTCGCTGATAGATGACAAGCGCAAACCAACCCCAAAGCTGTCTTGTTGAGTCTGTTCCCGCTTTGATAGTAGGTGAGCGATCAAAGCTCTGCAGCCCAGCAGTCCGCATCTTCAGGCTGTCCGTGAGCGCTAGGACGCCCGAATTTCGTCCATCTATCTTCATCCCATGGCCTCCTTCCCGGCTGCTGGCAGCAGTATTTGCGACAGCAAATGTCTGGCCCCAAGCATGGGTTTGGACGATGGCTCCTAGAGACTCCAAAAGGCATCGAGCCATTACCGACCTCCTGCAAGGCTTGACTCGAGACCAGACGACCGAGGTGTGTTAGTCTGCGAGGTGATGCTTGAAATCGCTCAGTCGCTGGCGAAGGGGGGAAAACTACGAAAAGGTTCAGTCCTTTGATCATGGCTAGGTTGAGAGGGAGTGTGTGCGACGAGTCGCGGACTATGTGACGTGGACCACGCTTGTGCAAGTTTCGCATGAAGTTGAGAGTTTAGTAGTATGGTCATGTTTTCTTTTTTTCCGAGTAGCCGACGTATGTAGTGCGTCGGTCAACGCTGAGGTGTCCATATCGGCCTCCATGGTATGAGGAGGCGCGTGGATCAATCTGGCCCAAACAGTAACGGCTCGCGGTGCGGGCATTTTTCAAGTTGCATGATCATCGGGCCTTATTTTATGGAGCTTGCCGTGCCGACATCTGTAATGTGCTCCGAAGCTGCTCCGAAAAGGAACACATCCCGTCGGTACTGCTTGATCATCATAGTGGCTCCGACTTCTCGTGATTCGACGGGCAACAATCGAGTGTTTGAGGAAACTGCATTATTTTGGTCCAACGGGGAGGATTCCTTCGTGTGAGTTGGCAGTATCAGACGGTGAATGGCGGTTGAACATGTACAGTCCGTTCACCGAAGAACCCATTCTCACCTAACATCCTCGACCAGGAGGAAAGACGGATAATACTCCAGAGACTAGGATCGTGCCGATAAACGCCGCCGGAAAGAATCCGTGATCCAATCTAGAAGTCTCAGTGGTGCTGCGGGCTGGTGGGGTTCGGGTCGATAGCAGACGTGATAAGTTTGAACGGCGGAAACACCGCCCTTCACACAAGCTTGTTGAGGTAGTCGATACTTCGCTGGTAGCCGTCCTTTGCTCACTCGCGAACTGCCATGGCCCTTGGAGCGCCAGAGATCCAAGGGAATACCCGTCTGCTCCTTCGGCCGAACGAGAAAGAGTCAATGGCGTGTCGCCGGGGGGGGGGGGGGGGTTCGTGCTAACGCTCGACACGAAAATTTCAGCGAGTCGAGCGGCACAAGTACCGGTCCACGCTGGTACGGACGATAGAAAGGAAGCGGAGGAGTTGCAGTGCATAGCAGCAGCGCAGTGTCTCGTTCCTCGCCACGTCCGAGGCTGGTACTCCTGAGTCCTGAGTCCTGGCTAAGCAGGCCAGGCGTGCCAGGATCTGGTTACGGCGCCTAGATAGACCAAAAAAAAAAAAAAAAAAAAAAAAGGCGCGCGCACTTTTGGCGATTGCAACCGTGCAACGCCGCTAGGATTTTGTCCGCGAAAGTGTGAGCCGTCACCCTTGCTGTCAATCCGGCCATTCGGAAAATTGTTTGTAGGAGTATGCATTCGTACGGAATACGGATAGTTGTGCAGCCATTGCAAAACGAGAATGACCAATCTCGATCATGACTGTTGCCCGTGTCATCCAGCGGGCCACGTCGTAATTCAGCGTGGGCAGCCGAGCCCGAAAACAGGGCCTCTGTGTCTGCATGACGTTCCCAACACGTGGTTTGCAAAATGGGCCGGAGCATCCTTCGTCGACATTCTCCGTTTGATGTGGAGGGACGGTAACACTGGAAACTGGCGAGGCATATTGCATCTTCGGACCATGAGCTCTGTCTGTATGATGAAAGATTGACGAGTCGTCTTTTCTCTTTTGTCTCTCGGTCTCTGTGCTCTAATTGAGGAAGCAGCCAGAGTAGGAAGGGCAATTTCGCATGCCCCTGAACCTTGTTCGTCGGGGCAAAACACCAGAGCTAATTCAAAGTGGGGGAGATTGCCCGCCCTTGGTGTCTGGTGAGAGACCGTGAGACTATCTTGGGCGGGGATCAGGTTCTCCATCCCAGACTATTCGTCCACCGCCCGTATCGCAGGACCATTGGGGCTATCTTGTCTCGGTGTCTTGGGAGTTGCCGAATATGAGAGACAGAGTGCGAATGTCTCGGTCATCTGAGCAGAACAGAAGGGTGTTGGTGTACCAAATAGAGTGCTTCGATGCAGGCAGCGAATACGCTGCTTGACCCTCGTCTGAATGTCGACACCTAATTCCCCAAGTTTTGACTGCTATCGCAAGCGACACTACGGAGTAGGGCGAGAGTGACGACTCACGAGCCGGTGTCGGGGAGTGGGTGGTCTCAGATAGCGTTGTCCGACGTTGAAAGAGTGGCTGTTGGCGGCCGATGATCGACGACGGGCATCCCTTCGCATGCACGAAC